TGTGTGTGTGTGTGTGTGTGTGGCCAGCTCAGTCCACCAGGGGGCAGGGCTGGCTGGCATGTGGTGCTGGGGGATTGAACCGCAGTCCCTGTGCTCTGCTAAGCTTGTTCTAAGTAGGTGCTGTAGACCACTGAGCCATCTCACCAGCCCCAAGGAGATCATTCTTCAGAATGGTCTCCCTGTCACCTGGCCTCACCCCACCTTCTTTGCAGGGTAAAAAGATTATAGGGAAGAAGAAGTCATCCAGAGAGTCCACGGCCCTGTCTAAAGATACAGCCAGCCACAGGGATAAGGACTGTTGTCAGAACTGTGCTCCGGACAGGGCCCCCCAACTGGATGGGGAGTGCAGTGGGGCCCAGGCCTTGGACAGCCACCTGCCTGCACCTGTGGAGACTGAGGGGCCAGATGGGCCTGGGGAGAGCAACCTGATCACAACCCTGCTCGGGCTGTGCAAGAGCAAGGTGCAGGCTGCAGAGGGTGGGTGGGCAGGTGCACTGTGGCCGGGGGGAGTCGGAGCCAGGAATGGCTGGGAGGTGACCTGGGGTTTGCATGCATCGCCCTGAAGTTGTATCCTCATCCTCTAGAAGGGTCGGGTGGCCCTAAAGGCCCAGGAGAACCTGCTGCTTCTGGTAGGCGTGGCCTCCCCAGCAGCTGCTACCTACCTGGCACAGAGCAGCGCCTGTTGTGCCGAGATCTCGGAACATCTGTGCCAGCTGTACCGGTCCCTGCCTGCCTTCCTCGACCCTGCAGACATCGCTGCTTTAGAGGGCATCAGCTGGAGGTGGGCCCTGGCCGGGGAAGGCTGGGCAACATTGCAGGAGCTGGTAGCTGGCTCCTCTAGTGTCCATGTGGGATGGGGACCCTGCTGACCACCCTCTTCCTGAGGTGGCAGCCCATTCTCAGAGTCGCAGACCAGAAAGCCACAGTGGAACTGAGCCCAGCCACAGAGGTTCTCCAGAGGAGAGGGAGAGGGCCACTCGTGGATGTCCTTGACTGAGGGAAGACCTGGAAGCCTCTCCCATACCCTCCAGACTTCCTGCCTCCCTCTCCCCTAGGTTACCCAGTGCCCCATCCGATGAGGCATCCTTCCCTGGTAAGGAGGCCCTGGCTGCCTTCCTGGGCTGGTTTGATTACTGTGACCACCTTATCACCGAGGCACACACGGTGAGCAGGGGCAGGCGTGGCCAGTGCTCTCGTGGCTTCCCTCACCATCTGGTCCCAAGGACAGAACAGCAAATGCTTAGTGACCTGGGGCTGGTTAGGCCTGCTGTCCTGGGGCGACTGTGATGGGTGCAGACATGGTGAAGTCATGCTTTTTGCCGCAGGTGGTAGCTGATGTCTTGGCAAAGGCTGTGGCTGAGAGGCTGTTTGTGGATGCCCTGCAACCCCAGCTTTTGCACGTGTGAGTGTCTTTTCCATTCTGCTGCTCGTCTTTTTTCGAGACAGTCTCACTACGTAGTTCAAGCTGATCTTGAACTCACTATGTAGCCCAGGCTGGCCTCAAACTCATGTGATCCTCCTGCCGCAGAGCCCTGATGCTAGGGTTACAGGGGTGCACCACCACTCCCAGTGATGACCAGTGTCTGTGCACCCTACCAAGCCCCATCCTGGCCCTAGGCCAGGGACCTTGTTGGCCAGAGTTATATCCGTGGACTCTGCTGGTTCACACTTTCCAGGCCTGCCCCTGCCATGCACAGGGCTCTGAGCCTCTTGGGCTAAGTGATGGCCTCCCACCTGTACCTGAAGGCCCTCAGTAGGAACAGGGACATGGGTGAGACATCCAAAGACGTGAGGCAAGCGGGAAAGGGGCACTGCACCCCCACTTCGATCACCCCCTTGCCCTCCCTGCTGCCCTTGGCTTGGCACAGCCTGGCCTGGCTAAGGAGGCTCACCCACAGGTCTGAGCAGAGCATCCTGACCTCCACTGCCCTGCTGACAGCCATGCTGCGCCAGCTCCGCTCCCCTATACTGCTGCAGGAAGCCGTGACCTTCCTTCTGGGCTCCCACCGGCAGCCTGCAGCCACTGAGGACAGTCCACGCACGCTGTGCGACCACCTCATCGGGCACTGTGACCACCTCTCCGACGAGGTGAGGGAGGGCCCTCAGTGATGCTTCTTCCCACTGCCTGCCCTACCCACAGAACATTTCCCGCGCCCTTCTGCCTGGCTCAGCCATCTTGAGCCCCTAGACACACTCACAAGGTGACTGCCAACCTGATCACCTCCCTGCTTAGACTTGCTACACTGGTTTTGTCACAGTTATTTCCTGTGAACGCACGTTCTTTAGGGCACTGAATATTTTCCAAGCTGCTGTCCTAGCCATTTGGCTTTTCTTTCCTCCAGTCTGAAGGACTGAACACAAGGTCTTCATCCCCAGCTTGTTTTTATTTTTTTATTTTGAGGCAGGGTCTCTAGCTCATTAAGGTGCTCAGGCCTCCTGCCTTAGCCTCCCAGAGTGCTAGGATTACATATGTGCACCACCACATCCAGCTTCATTTAGTTCATTGGAGGCTCAAGTGCTCTCCGTGAGGTACGGGAGGCTTGTAGTCCCATTTTTTTGAATGTGGGAATCGAGCCCCAGAGAAGCCCATGGCCATACCTGAGAACGCATATAGCAGGACTGTTGGACCTGGGCACACCGGTACACACCTGTGATCCCAGCTACTCGGAAGGTTGGGCAGGAAATCCAAATTTCAAGGCCAGCCTGGGCAACGTAGCAGGATCTCGGGTTGTACCTCACTGGTAGAATGCCTGTGGATTCAGGCCTAGTACCAGAGTAGTGGGACAGGCATCATCCGGGCTTCCTACTTCCTGTGCACCTGAAACCTGCTACCTTGGTCCCTAGCCCAGGGAGATGACCCCGCCTGCCAGGACTTTCTTATCTAGGCCAGCAGTTCCCAGGCACTGGAGCCGAGGGGGTGGTGGGGAGGGTGCCCTGCTGAGCCCTTTTGCTGTAGATCAGCATCGCCACATTGCGGCTGTTCGAGGAGCTGCTGCAGAAGCCCCACGAGGGGGTCATCTACAGCCTGGTTTTGTGCAACCTGGAGGGCCGCCTGTATGTGGCCCGGAGCTCACCGGAGCCCGAGAACTATGAGGACACTGTGTAAGTGAAACCAGGAATCCTAGGGCCACCTGGGACCCAGGCCAGCCCCCAGCACACCCATATTCACCCATATTTTTCCTTGTTTCTTTTCCTTCCTTCCTTCCATCCTTCTTTTCCTTTTCTTTCCTTTCCTTTCCTTTCCTTTCCTTTCCTTTCCTTTCCTTTCCTTTCCTTTCCTTTCCTTTCCTTTCCTTTCCTTTCCTTCCTTTTCTTCGTGTGCACTGGCCAGAGATCTGGAGGAAGACCCTTACTTCACAGATGGCTTTGATTCTGGCCTACAGCCCTCTGTAAAGCCTCGCCAGGCTCCTGCCACTTTGGATGGCAAAACAGCAGTGACAGAGATCGTCAACAGGTGGGGAGCAGGTTAGGCAACTGGAGCCACTTGCATCGTCTCGTCTCTGGGGTCCGGGGAGCTAGGGAGCATGGGGATCCCTGGGAAGCAGCTCCACACCTCAGCTTCTGTCTCAGCTTCCTCTGCCTGGTCCCTGAAGAAGCCAAGACCTCAGCCTTCCTGGAGGAGACTGGGTACGACACTTATGTGCATGATGCCTACGGACTGGTAAGTGAGGCTCTGTGTGACCTCCCTCATGCTTCCTGGCCTTTGGGTTGAAAAACACCTTTGATCTGCCCCAGGAGTTGGACCCCTCCTTTACGGTTGTGAGCTTCCACAACTGCCCCCTTTCAGTTCCAGGAGTGTAGCTCCCGTGTTGCTCTCTGGGGCTGGCCGCAGACTCCCACACCCTTGGATCCCCATGAGCCAGAACGGCCTTTCTTTGAGGGCCACTTCCTTGGAGTGCTGTTCAATCGCATCGCCCGGATTTTGGATCAGGTAGCCAGTGGGTCAGGGCCCAGAAGTCCAGGGTGGGCTTCCAGTGTTTTTGAGGACAGCAGATAATGGCCATGGGGCTTGACCCTTCTTGGGCTCTTGGGCCCCATGCCCTCCACCTCCCAGCCTTTCCCCAGGCGGGAAGTCCCGTCTCGCCTCTGCTCCACACGCCCTGACATGCTCTGGCCCTCAGCCCCAGGAAATCCATGACACACACTCATCACATGAGTTTCCCACCCCCGCACACGTTCACATCGACCAGACGCCTTGCTGGGGGGGGGGGCACAAAAAGGCTCATTGCTCCCCACCAACCCTCGGTGCCATTCATCTTGTTCCCTGTAGCCCTACAGCCTAAACCTGCAAGTGACCTCAGTGTTATCCCGGCTCGCCCTCTTCCCCCACCCCCATATCCATGAGTACCTTCTGGATCCCTACATCAACCTGGCCCCTGGCTGCAGGAGCCTGTTCTCTGTGCTGGTCAGGGTAAGGATGCCAGGGGTAGGAAGGCAGGAAACAGGGTAGGGGCTGGTGGTGTAGGAGGGAGAGCCCTCTGATGCCAGGGAAGTGGCAGGGTCCCCACCACTGTGGCACCCTAGCAGGGAGAGCCTACAGGAATATGGCTAGGCCCTACCTCATGCCACCCTGGCTCCTGGCCTAGGTGATCGGGGACCTGATGCAGAGGATTCAGAGGATACCGCAGTTCCCAGGCAAGCTGCTTCTAGTACGCAAGCAGCTGATGGGCCAGGTCCCCGGGGAGCAGTAAGTAACCTTGAAGTGGGTGGGGGAGGTGTCTGGCCACTGGGCCCAGCCCTGTAGACTCAATCTGTCATGCTGGGCACATGGCTGCCACCTGCCACCTCCACTGTCTTCCCTCAGGCTGGACCACCAGACTCTCCTTCAGGGCGTGGTAGTTCTTGAGGAGTTCTGCAAGGAGCTGGCTGCCATCGCCTTCGTCAAGTTTCCCCCACATGGTCCTCAGCTGAACTTCTCCCCGCCCCTGGAAGGGCAAGTCTGAGACTCCCGTCCTTGTCTCTGCCCAGGAGCCGCCTCCTGCTGGGCCCTGCCACCTCTGCAGCGCCCGTCTTGGGGCTTCAGCTCCCAGGCTGACTTGGGATCTCAACCTGTTTACCAGGCAGGCCTAGGTTCCAGGGAGTGGACTTCAGAGGTGCCAGGAGGAATAGAGACAACTTTCCTGGCAGCATGGTGTCTTCAGGGCCTTCCTGGAGGAGCTGGGTGATAGCTGGTTTGCACCTGGACTCTGCCCTTGTGTGTTGTCTTGACTGTTCACTCCATACTGGCCATGTGTGGTCAGGGCCACAACTGGTAACAACTCCAGGGGGTCTTGTGGAGACAGCTGCTGGCTCTAAGGCCAGCCAGGAATCCAGGCCAGAGAGCCAGGGGTCAGGAGCCCTGACTGTCACATTCAGTACCATGGAAGCTGCTACAACTTGACAGGCTTTTTGCTGCCTGCATGGTTGCCTTCTGGAGAAGGGACTGTGAAAGGGACTGTAGGGAAGCCCCTTTTTCTTGCTCTGCCCTCCCAGTGGCTGTTGCAAAATTCTCAACTGCCTCATGGCAAATGCCCAAAGCATGCTCCGCGCCCAGGCGGGGGCAGCTGCTAATGAGGACCTCAGTGCAGCTGCAGCCAGGGCGGGTGAGGGCCTTGGAGCCGCGAAGCTGGGCGCCTGCTTACAGCCCTAGCTGGTTCCTCACTGGCGCCTTCTGAACCCGTCTCGGCAGGTCCGCAACACCTGGGCAGAGAGGTCAGTGACCAAGGGAGCCAGGCCTCGTCCTCCAGATCCCGCTCAGTGCCCAGTATTCCTGATGGATGGCCCCCACTGGGGGCACAGGAGCTTCAGGTACAGATGAAGCAGGATGCCCGATCCTAGACCCCCTGAGGCCTGGTGGCAAGGACCTGGGCACAGGCAGCCAGTTCTCCTTGCATGCCCTCTGTGGCTGGGGCTGCCTCCCCACCCGGCCTGAATCTGTCTCAACCTGCAGGAGCACTTGGGCGGCGCCAGGCATTACCTCACAGTGGGACTGCAGTTGCTGGCGCGGCTCCTGGGCAAGGAGGAGCAGGCCAGAGCCCCTTTCGCTTCCTTTTCCTGCCCATGCCTCTTCTAGAAGCTGGGCATGGGTTTGCCAAGAGGTGACATGAAAGAAGGGGAAACTCAGTGACCTCTACCTCCTGCATTCCTCTCAGCGGGGGAGGACCCAGCTGCTGCTCCAAAGAACACTGTGCATGCCTGTGAATGCATATGGGTGCCAGTGTGGGACAAGGGGCAAGTCTAGTGGGGAAACTGGGGCTGGACTTTTGGGTCTTCAGATGTTGGAGGGTTTAGGAGGCATGGACCCTCGCCTCTAATCAGTGCACTTTGGCATTTGCACAGTGTCTTACCCAGACAGCACAGCAATAAAGTGTGAGTGCGTGGACACAGTGGCTCTGTTCTCAGCCTTCCTGTCCTGCCTTGCCCAACACTTCTATTCCAAGGAAGACAAGCACCCTTCCTTTTCCAGCCTTGGGGCAGAGGGTGGTGGTGCAGTTAGGTCGAAGCAGTCTAAGTCACATTTCACACCTTCCAGCTCGCCTGTGCCTGAAAGCCTGCCATCCTGGGCCATCAGGAGGAGGCATCTGTATGTAGGTCTTAGGTCCCTGTGTAGGCTATAGGACTCAGTCGTGCATAGTGGGCCTCATGTTTCACAAATTTATCCTTGGATGTGTAGGGAGGGAAGAGGGATTCCTCGGAGGGTTGCCACAGCACTGTGGGATGAGGCAGGCTGAGAACTTGGCTCCTTCAGTGGCTCCTGACTTTTTAAAATGCTTATTTTTAAAGTGCTTTTTAGCCATGTGTAGTGGTGCATGCCTGCAGTCTCAGCACTTGGCAGACTGAGGCAGGAGAATCACTGTGAATTTGAGGTCAGCTGGACTACACTGTAAATTCAAGGCCAGCCTTGACTACATAGTGGGAGCCTGTTTCAGAAACAGAAACAAAGTGCTTGGCCCCCTCCAGCATTTCAGTTAGTGTGAGGGAGGATCCAGTGTCTGTAAGCTCTCCAGGTAATTCTAATGCATCTGCGATGAAAGCTACCAAGGCTGCTATGTGGAGCCCCTAAAACACCAAGAGGGAACAGAATAAAAGGGCTTGGTCATCATTCAGATGTGTCCTCATGGAACCCAGGATTCCTATGACACCCCCACTCCCAGAGGCCAGAGACAAGCTGGTGGCCAAGAGCAGGGAGGGGCTAGGAAGGGTGCAGTTCCCTTGGCCCATGCCAGCCAGAGAGCAGTGGGACCCAGAATTCCATTTATCTTTCCCTGCTCAAAACCAGAAATCTGTAGGTGTGATGTGCACATGATATACTGTTTTTACTCATCAACTGTGGCACTAAGGTTCTTTTATTAAAAAAAATAATTTGTATGACTGCTGAGCTGAGGGAAAGCAAAAGGTTTAGTCTGGTTTCAGTTGGAAGTACAAAGAGGCAGGGGAGCAGGTGGGTAGGGATCAGAGCCCAGAGGCTCAAGGGAAAGAAACGTGTCTGGCTTCTGTCTATCTGCAGCTTCCCAGATCCCCACTGCTCAACCCCTGGGGGATCTGAGCTGTTTCCATTAGGGACCATGTTCTCTCACAGCCACCTCCTGCCTAGCGACAGTCCCAGAGGCTGGGGCTGCAGTAGCCAGCAGAGTTGGCTGTCAAGAAAGCCCCTAGTCAGTTCCAGGGGGAAAAAAAAGCCCCTAGTGGCTGTCGGTGTGTCCAGGAGCAGCAGTTCCAGCAAGAACCCCGCACTTCTGACAGACATTTAGGCAGGAAAGGAAGGGTAAGCAACATTATCTACTCAGCACAGGTTTTTTGAGGACCTCCCCATGTCGCCTTGCAAGTTCTAAGTCCAAAAGGACAAGCCTGCAGGTCTTCAGTGTGGAGAACAAGGGGGTCAGAAAGCTCCCAGATCCCAGAAGCAAGCATCCATGTGCCCGCAAGGTAATGGGCCCTTGACCTCTGTGCTCCTTGCTCAGTTAAAGGCACTATTCTTTTGGTGCACAGTGGGCGTCAGCTACATGAAGTCCCCCTGTGACCAGAAGAACCACCGCTACACCCTGCACACCAAGATCCCTGACTGCCAGCCTCCTGCCTGCCTCTCCCATGGAGGGGGCACAGCTGCCCATCCCTCGCGCCTACAGGCCCTCTCTATCTGTTCACAGGGACAACAGAAGATTCACGGAGCCTCTGGAGGAGCTGACTCTGTAGGTCTCCTTCTGTCACCTTCCACCAAAAGTAGTTCTCACCCCGAACCTTTGGGGGCTCATCTTGGCTTCCTAGGTTCCGAAAAGCCACTGTCACCAGGATATTGAGGCAGATGCCATCTGTTTGGTCTCTGCCCAGGTGCTGTAATCCAAGCAACCCCTTCGTCTCCACTGTCAAATTGTGAAGGGTCAGACACTCCTGCAACAGCCGCAGGACAGCCACCTTGATGCCACCCCTTTGCTCCATGGGGGTAAAGCCACAAGCGGTTATGGGCAAGTGGGGCGTGCCCACCGTGCCCACCAGCACCCACACAGTCTGGATGCCTGTAAATGTGGCCACAAGCCGCAGACAGACTACACTACAGGGCAGCTCCTGGGGCAAAACCAGGGGGTGCCCAGCCTGCTGGTGGTACTGAGCAGCCAACTCAATCAGGTGCAGAATGTCATGGGCTCGAAGTGGACTGGGCAGGGCGATCCTCGGGTACCAGACGGCCTGCAGGGACTCCGCATCTGCCTCCTTGAGAGTCTTGAGAGTTCCACCTAAAGCAGATTTAAGGACCAGGAGGGGGAGGGTGTGTGCTGTGAGCAGCAAGGCAGTGAGGTGCGGCAGTGGGCTGCAGGAAGAATACCAAGTTTGCAAGCCTGGAAAACTTAGGAAGACCTTCTGTCTCAAAAAATAAGAGGCTGGGATGTAGTTCAGGGCAAAGGCCTTGGGTTCAATTCCCAGTTACCACCTCCCCCCCCAAAAAAAAAAATTATCAGGTCTGGCAGAATGAATAAACACTGGCACTCCAGCCATGACTGCTCAGACTACAATTAGCCAATAATCAGCAGCCAATACTGGTCAGACTAAGGCTGCCTGCAAAAGGGCTCATCTTCTGGGAAGACAAGCTGGGGGAAAGATGGGCTTAAGTTCCAGCTCACATGCCACCAGGTGGGCCCTACCTGTGGGGCGAGCCAGGAATACAAAGCGGATCCAGGAGGGACCTCGCTCCTCCATGGACAGCAGCGTCACAGGCTCGCAGTGCAGCCCGGTCTCCTCCCTCACCTCCCGCCGCAGTGCCTCCACGATGGTCTCCCCGGGCTCCATTCGTCCTGCAGGAAGGTACCATGACCCCCGGCACTCCCTCTTAGCCTCCTGGATCAGCAGCACCTCATCCTGGGGGAAGAAAGAAACTCTTAGACTCCACTAGGGCAAGCAGCTCTCTCTCGGTACCCCGAGGCCCCATTGGGTCCCAAATACAGCGGCCCAAGACTCCCTTCCTGGTGGACACCTTTCAGTGCCCCCAGAGACAGCCCGTGTGTGGCTGGCAGCTTCAGCTGTCTCCTCTGCAATAATTCATCTACAGGATTGAGATTCCTTTACAGGAAGGGGCTGAGATCCCCGGGACGCCTAGAGGGAGGGCTGCCACTACCCTACAGTGATTTGTATCTTTCTACGTCATCCTGTAGCTCCTTCCTCCCCATGGGATTTAACGTGGTCAGTCTGGGCTTTGAAATTGGGCCCCATCTTTACCCCACCCTATGAGATCCCTCCCTATGGCCCTTGCTCTTGTTATTATATCGACCGGAACAGGAATGAGCACCAAAAAGAGCTCCCGGCGGTTAGGAGAATCCAATGTAAACTCCCCATTACTCTGCCTGGAGGGAGGGGGTCTCGAAAGCCCCAACAACACTGCCAAGAGAGCCCATTCTGCATCGGGGTACCGCGCTGGGCTCCTGGGGAGGGAGGTGGAAGACTACAGTCCTGTCCTCCAGCAGCTGAGGCCTAGAGAACGAGATGATCGGCTGGGGCCTCGGTTCCCTCTTCTCAAGCCGCACGATCGCGGGGCTCAGATCCTAGAGTTGAGAGTGGTTTGTAAAACTGGGAAGCGCCACGCACGGGGGGGTGAGGGGTGGCCGTGTCCGTCAATCTTCGGCCCCCATCAGGGCTGGCTGCGCACTCCCGAGGCCCAGCGGGGCCGGCGGGGGACGCTCACCTGCTCGTTGAGGAACACAGCCAGCACCACGTAGCAGACGTCCCTCCGCAGCCGCACAGGCGCCCGCGGCTCGCCCGCCGGCTCCGAGTCACAGCGCTGCACGCACAGACCCCGGCCCCCCAGCACGGCCACCAGCTCCCCCTCCAGGCTTTCCGAGGCCATGGGGTCCCCTGGTCGGCGGTAAAACCGGGCCTCGCGGACCCCGCAGGCCCCAGAAACTGATGGCCCGGGGCGTGGGAAGCGTGGGCTCCGGCGCCCTCGCCCCCCACAGGCGGATTCTAGCCTGTGCAAACGCGGAAGCTCATAGGCTGTGCGTCACCGCGGCCGGCGTCCATTGGCCAGCTCACGTAGTCCCCCGAGGGGGCGGGGTCATCTTGTTCGGAGGCGGGGCGTCCGGGGGTGCTGTAGGGTCCCTCACCTAGCTTCTGCCGTCGCGTCACCCCCCTCTTTCTGTGTTTTAGTCGCTTTTGGGACGCCTCCCTTCGACTTCACTAATTCTCCTGCACCAGCCCCGACAGTGACGTCATCCTGCCTGCAGGGTGTTGGACGCCTTTGCGGACAGTGGCGTCACAAGCTCGATGATGTCACGGAGCCCGGGGTCAATCGCTGAGACCCACTGTCCGCTTTTATCATAAACAAACTAGAGCATTGCCTGAGACGATCGCTTCCCAAATAACTTCCTTCCTAATTCGTTAAAATGTACTGAATGTCACGGCCACACAGACTATCGTGTTGGAGATTCTGATCTCATTGGAGAGATGGACACAGACATGTATGTCATAGAAAGTCACCTGAGGGTAGGAGACTAAGTGCTAAATGACTAGTTTGGGCAGAAGATGTGACCCGAGGAGGGATGTGGCAGGGATGGGATGGGGGATGACAGGGCAGGAGTCAGCAGCTGTCCTCAGAGCCCCTACCCACCCTGTCTCCCATGCAGTGTCCCTTCTCTGCTGCAGACCGTGGCCACCTTCTGTGCTGCAGACCGTGGCCATAGAGGGCCGGAACATGGGGAACAGGGTGTGGGTTGTTTGGGGCGGCTCCTGCTTCTCTCCTAGCCTGACCTTTCCTCCTCAGAGCTTCCTTTAACCTCCTGTCAGGACAGAAGGCAGAGCCAGCTGGAAAGAATCGGCAAGCAAGCCAAGTCTGGGCTCCCCACACCATCCGTCCCTCCCTTGCCTCCCTTGTGCTGGCTTTGTGCACCTCCCTTTGGTGGCCAGATGGGGGGACAGAAGCTTGGTGATACTGACAGAGCTTTGGACTTGAAGCCAGATGTCCAGCTACTGCTGTCTGTCTGTCTGTCTGTCTGTGCCGCTGGGTAAGTTGTGGCCTCAGTTTCCTTGTCTGTGCTGTCAGGTCATAACAGCCTGCCTTTTACAGGGTGTTGGGAAGCCCAGGTGTCCAGGGAGGTACTCTGTGGATTGTGCAGCATGGGACACTGTCCTCAGGCCGCCTGCCAGCTCTCCAAGTCAGGCCCTTGTAGCCACGACCTTTGTTGCTCCCACAGGAGACAGGCTGCCCTAGAGCTGGGTTCCACTGTCAGGAGTCACAGCCACGTGAGCCTGGCGTCCTTAGGTCCTTCTGTACCAATGCTGGCTGCACATCCCCTGCCGCCAGGGGTAAAGTGCTTGTGGGCCATAAAGTTTTTAAAGACTTGCAGATCTCTGCTCTGTTGCAGCTCTAAGCATGTCCATGCCCCAAACAACCAAACTCACTGGTCTGAGTGAGGGTCAGGACCCAGGGGCCCCACAGCAGCCTGTCAACATATTTGCAGCTTGTGTGTGTTCATATCCCTCAGTTTTCCCATCTGTGAAGTGGGATAGTATTGGTTAGAGACTCCTTTCTGCCTCCCAGGGATGAATTGAGAGAGAATGAGGTCATGTCTGGGCAGGGCTCTGGGAGCTTCAGAGGCATCCTAAGATAAACACCAGGCAGTCTAACTGCCTGGAAGAACAGAGGCCAGCCACAAACTGCAGCTCTCTTCCCCATTATCAAGGGGGTGGGGGCAAGCACACCTCTCCTGTGGAGTGGGCAATCAGCCTGGTCTGAGCTACCGCCTGAGGCAATAGAACAGGCAGGCAGCATGGAGGCCCCTTCCTGCTGTGCTGGCTGAGACCACAAAGAGGTAGTAATTGCTCAAGTCTTGGGAGGAAGAGAGGGGTCAGAGTGGGGAGGCCCCAAGATGGGAGGAAGAAAGCAAGAAAGCAAAGGAGACAGAAACTAGGCTTAGGCTGGGCTAGGTATTGCACGCCGGTAGTCCCAGCACTTGGGAAGCTGAGGTAGGAGGATTAAGTTGGAGCCAAGCCTGAGCTGTATAGTGAGTTCAAGGCCACCCTGAACCGCATAGTGAGACACTCTCAAAAAACAAAACAACAAAAAAGGAAGAAACCTACAGCAAGGCTGGGTGTCCTTGTGTTCCCTGAGGGGGAGGGATGCTGCTGGAATGGGCGGCCAGTCTTTGAGGCAGACAGGAGTGGCCTGACAAGTGTGCGCCCACGGAGCGAAGCCTGAGCCAGCTGCTTGGGGCGTGCATGTGCACATGTTATGAGCAGCCAGGCAAGAAGGCCTGGGGTGGACAGGCTTGGGGACACAGGGATGGGGACAGCAACAGGGACAGTGATAGGCAGTCAGGGTGGGGTCACATGTTTGTGATGCAGGAATCATTTATATTCAGTGAAATTCTGTATCATTTGTAATTTTTTTCTTTTTTAATACTGCTTTGTATCCTCATTAAAAATTGTTTTTAAATTTTTTTTAAACATAGAGTCACAGAGCAGCAACTCCTATTTCTTGAGAGTAGGGACACTGAGGCAGACAGTGGCCCTGCAGAGGAGGAAGTCTGGCTGTAGAGGGGGTTCTGCCACTGGTTCCCTGTGTGACCTTGGGGAAGCCTTGGGCCGTAGTCACGCAGGCATTGTTGGACCCTGAGTAGAAAAAGAACATTAGTGGGAAAGTGGTGAAATCCCAGAGAATTCTGTTGTGTTGCTGATAGCTTGTATCAGTGATAATGGCTTAGTTTTGATAAACGCACCGTGTTTATGTAAGATGTTCCCGTTAGGGGAAGCTGGGAAGGATAATTGGGAACTTTCTGTGCTATCTTTGTGGCTTGACTATAAATCTAAAGTTATTTCAAAATAGAAAGTCTGAGAATTTTATAAGAAAGAAAGAGGGAGAAGCAGGCATTGCCTGTGCACGTCTCAAGTTCCCTTCAGGCACTATGGCTTGTGTCGGCCTCATCTGGGTCTGAGGGAGGGGCTTAGGCAGAGGGTGGGTGGTTCGTTACTGACCCCAGCAGAAGTAGCAGTCCAAGGGGGCTTCGTGGGCAGCACTGCCACCAAGTGCTCCAGGCTGAGACTCAGGGTCAGTGCCCACCTCAGCAGATCCATTCCTACAGCCGGTCCTGGAACAAATGGACATTCATCCATGTGCTATTCACAGTGAGTCACACCAGACACGTCCCTGAGCACCAACTGTGACCAAATGTGACCCACCATGGCAAGGCCCCTGGGAGAGACGATGAGGTCTGGTGGGGAAGAGAGAGGCTCCGAGACTTGTCCAACCCCACCCCAAAGCGCAAAGTGCAGAGCAGCATCTTCCCAGGAAGGACCCTGTATTTTGGGCTCCGGGGTGACGTTAGGACACGGTCTTGAAGGTGAGGTGTAAATAGCAATGTGTCATCCATTGCTGCCTGGAACACGTTCAGCTCTAAAGTGCATGCAGTAGGAGGAGGACAGAGAAGAGGGCAAGCTTCTCTTTAAATTCCGTGAAGCGCTAAGACTGCAATATAAACGAGGTAGCTTGAGTCAGAAAACTTGGTTCAAATCCCAGTTCTGCCACTAAAATTGCTGTGTGACCTTGCATGACTTATTTAACCCGTTTGCCTGTTTCTTCCTCTGAAAAATGGAAATAAATTCTATCTACCTCAAAATAGTGATAAGAGATCGAAAGATATAAATGAAAGGCACTGAATAAAAGACAGCACAGAAACACATAATTCTTTGATTTTTTTTCTTTTTAATTCTAAGAAACAGTGAAAGTAACAACCTCCAGTGAAGAAACTTAACTACATATTTATTTTTGCTATTGGGAATCAAACTCGGGACCTTGCTCTTGCCAGGCAGGCACTCTGCCACTGAGCTGTGTCCCCGGCCCCTCTCTTATTAAAATATAGGATGGTTCTATAAATCATGGTACAACTGATTAATGAAATATAAACAGCCACTTAAAATGAAGAGTAGGCAGCAACACAGAAAATGATCACAACACTGTGTCAAGGGAAAGGAGCCAAGTACAAGATGCACTGTTCAGCCATGTGTACAACATATGCCTGGAGAAGATGCTAGGAAGAAATCCACCCAAGACTCAAAGGCTTGGGTCAGGGATGAGTAGACATGGGTGTCAGGTGACTGTTGTATTTTCCAAATGTTCTGTGTAGCTAGGCATGGTGGTGCATGCCTGTAATCTCAGCACACTTGGGAAGCTGAGGCAGAAGGGTCCCTGTGAGTTTGAGGCCAGCCTGAACTGCATAGTGAAACCCTGTCTCAAAAAGACAACAACAAATGTTCTCAACATATGTTACAGTTATAATAAAAAATTTTATTTAATAAAAAATTCCCCAAACCACAGCAGAAACAAGTATGACAAGAGGTGGTATGTTGGTGGGGTTGAAATACCTGGGGCGGGGGCCGGGGGACAGAGGGCTGAGCCACACCGGGGTTGTGGGGACAGGGCTGGGAGAAGATAGCAGCAGTGTCTGAGGCAGGGAAACCCAGTCCCAGGCCGTGGTCACCATGGGCAGTGGGGACAGCAGAGCTCTGGAATCCACAGCTGATGTCACACAGGGAGGCCATCTCAGTGCTGTGCCTGAGACTCTTCCTTGTCTGCTATCACAGTCAGGGGCACCTTTGGGGATAACATCCCCAAAGGCTCCAGGCTCCCACAGGAAAAGCGGGCAGGGGTGTCTGAGGGGACCCCCACTCCCCTGCTTGCCCTTGTCCATCTGCCTCTGCTCTGGGGCAAATTTCCTTGTTTCTACTCCCTTCCCAGACCATGCGGCCTGCAGGAGCAGGGCCAGCCACACTGGCAGCGTCACAAAACAACAGACTTTAAGGGAAATCACCCAGGAAGGAGTGAGAGGGGAGGCTGGAGTGGGGGCAGGGTGGCACGGCCCATGTAATTCCCTCCAGCCTGGGCGGGCAGTCCCTGATGCCCTCTCCCCCACACTGAACAGCAGTTCTGGCAAGAGGGCAGGAGTTTCGTAGCCCCTAGTCTAGCACGGCACCGTG